GATTTTTCGATATTATAGTTGCTGTCGACTGTGCATTATTTGACCAAGGCACGGTCGACTAGACGGGTGGTTTCATGATTAAAGGTAATAAACGAAAAGGAGAGCACAGCAGAGAGAGAGGTGTTGAGAAGTGTACTTTACAACAAAGAAAAGACTACGCCGGTACAGACTCGGTCAGGAAATAGTCAGACATTTACGCACAAGGTACAAGCGTTTTTGGCAACTATCATTTTCGGCGTAGTCCCACTTCTGCATAAATGAATTTTGACCAGCATGTCCCCTTTGTTTTCCGACGCAAGACGAAATTGCTTATAAGTTCGGCTTACCAGACAACAACATGGTACGTCACCGTTTTTACGCGGACAGAAGAAAGGACTTTTGTTAGGGGGACCATTGCTAAGGTCAAAGTGGACCAACCCAAATATTGGGGGTTCTAGTAAACCCCGACAACCAGACAACTCGCCAAACGACCGGGTTATCATGGACACTACACGACTTGCATTTCGCAGCATCACCTCCGGTCGGCCGTGCCTCCTCCTCCCTAACGACCGCTCACACCTGTCCCACAGCAACCGTTGCGTCCAACCACTAACCATCCCGTTTGTTCCTCGGACAACGGAGCACCCTGTCGCACCACCGCCGGCGGACTAACTCAGTTTCCGAACCCGAGCGATTGAAGTCCGAATTCGGGGCCAACGGGCTCCCAGTTCGAAACACTGTAATCCGCACGACGACGTTTGCCGACTTTCCAAGTCCAGCGGTCGTCGGTGGTAGCCGAACGTCAAGAAAGTAGCGATAAGGTAAAAAATTAATTTAGGAATACGACGCAAGTGTGGGCTGCGCTACGCTTATAAGCGTAGTTATGCGAGCTTCAAAGTGGCGCCGAACGTCAAACAAATAGCGCAGCAAGTTTTACGTCTGTATGGCAACGTGCCTGTTAACTCCAACGAAATGTGAAGGTAACGTTCTGCAAAAACCAATAAAAGACAGCGATGATACCTCCCTATATTTGTTTATAACGAACGAACATTGGAAGACAAAGTGTTACATAGTCGCAGCGGTGTGTCAATCCACTTATAGTAACAAACTAGTTCCTTGACGGCGGACCTACTGACGGACAAAAGTCGCCAAAAATACTACTGGACACAGGTCAAACTACTAGAAAATCGCAGCCCACCAAACAGTCCTAAAGGCCTACCTGTGTTTGATGTCCGCAAAGGGAGAGTCGACGCCTCGCGGCGTTATACAGAGGCCATTTCAACGACAACAAAAACAAAAAATATTATACTTATGTTTTTATACATTACTTAGAACGTGCAGTACGCACTTAGTTACGGTGTCGCGATACCCTAGTTTACTTTGACAAGATACAATAAAAGTCTAAATATTAATTTGCCAAATTTTTCAATTTTTGACTCCCTCTCAGAGGTGACCACGATTCCCTCCATAGCATGTTCGAGTCAGGCAGTGGGCTCTTCCTATCGCTGTTTGAGTATACGCTGCACAAAGATGCAGAGTTGGCCAAAATAATGGTCTAAGTTAGCTCGGCTGAGTGAAAGGATGCACCTGCTGTGCATAGCAAAATAAACCATGCCCAGAACTAACAGCAGTTCATCGTCTCCGTCTCTACTATTTCTCTCCGAGTGCAACGATGAGGAAGCTGCCATCCTTAACCAGTGTGCCTTGCTCGTGATTTACCAGTGTTTGTGCTGCCACGCACACAATGTTTCAAAAGTGGTTTCTATGTTGCCCTTTATTTGTGAATGTATTTGCGATAAGTGTGCGTCTTTGCGCAATGCTGTTGGCCTTGCTGTTTGATATATGTTGTGCCGCAGGCCCGCAGCACGTGGAGGTTTTGTGTGTCCTCCCATGAAAATCATATGCCCTCCCTTTAGATTTGTTCTGGCGCCGGGTCTGCCAGCGCGTCTTGTTTGAGTGATGCGAGTAAACACAGCTGACAGCCGTGGTGAAACTCGAGCGTTTAGAGCGATGCGATAAGAGCGATTAGAGCGAAGCGAATATTCGCATTGCGTCCGGTGTGAACGCAGCATTAGGCTATAAACAAAATACATCACAGTTGAATTCATTCATGTGACCACCGCTAAGCTAAAGGCGGCACATTTTGAGCGTGATGATGTTAATAGTCTAATTGAGATAATTGTTTGCAACCATTGTTTTTATGACACTAAAAAGTTCAGACAATTACCAGTGGGGTATTTACTGACTTATTTTATGTCTATTCAGCTTGTGTTAACCACAGACCTGTGTTCAGGCATTAACCAAAAACATCCGGATGTGCTAACTCATAACTCATATCTGGGTTTTAGGACTCATTTCTCATTTCTGATCACTCATTTCTGCAGCACTCTATTGGTTTTACCTGATAACCACTTCTGTCCATTTGGAACCGGACACAGGACTGGAACAGGAGGAGTTCTCCACCTGCTTGTCGTTACAACGGCTGCTGCACTTTATCAAATCCACACCATGTATTCGCTGATGTTGATCACATTTCTATCATAAACCGTACGAGTTCCAATAATTCCTCGGCCTGTTCTTTATGATTGTCACAGACTTCCCTGTTAACCAGAGGATTCTAATTTGTGAATGCACGTAATCCTTGGTACAACTTCATCAACATATGTCAATCTACCCAATGACAATGACGTCTTTTTTGTCAATGATATTGTCCTTAAACACATACCACCCCGTAGTGCAGAAAGCAGCATTAAAGTGGAGCTGATACTGATTGTTGGGACCAGAGCTGAATTTTTCTCGTCATCGGTGGTGAGTTTCTGCTAATAGGCATGCAGAAGCAGAACTGAGACGTGATCTCAGTTGGATTTGTTAAACTCCCCAGGCACAGTGAAAGCAGCCCTGTGAGGTCTTGGTGCTGTACTTAACTCAGTACAGCTCGTCAAGGGCTGGGTTGTCCTCTGGTGGAAAACACTGCAGTAAAAAAGTCTGGTTTAAACTCGCTCAGGAGATAATGAAGACGGCATCGCAGAGTCGTAGAGATCTCAAAGTGTAAGCACCACTTGTGGTTGATCAAGTGGTTGATTGCAAATCAATCATGATGCTCCATTTCTTTTTTTTCGAAAG